GACCAGAAGACTCCTTGCCTGTGTCGTCCAGCCAGAATCGAGGTACTGTGTACCCGACAACTCCTCGGAGAGTACTGACACCGGCTAGAGCTTCGCGCACATTGTACTCCACATCAGCCGGTAACGCCAGTAATAGAGTCTTCGACGTGCTGCTGACAAGCGGGACTGCCGAGGCGAAGATCAGGATTGCGATCAAGCACGAGGCGATGGGATCATACCCTGGCCAGCCAGAGTAGTGAACTAGAATGGTCGAGATCACCACAGCCACAGATCCCAGCGTATCGGCGAGAATATGTAAAAAGATGCCGTGCATGTTTTCGTTACCGTGCGAGTGTCCGTGACCATGGTCGTGACCATGCGCATGTCCATGGTCAAAGGCCATGATTCCGACGAGGTTCACTAGTAAACCCGCAATGCTGACAACGAGAAGCTCACCAATGCGGTGCATTTGGCTGCCAGAAGACAGCCTCTCGACCGCCTCATAGATAATTTCAATACTGATGATCCTGCATGCCATTAGTCGTAGGCCATAAGCATGGTCGTTCGCATTGCTCACATCAGGAAGATGCCGTTGGCAAAGCCAGACAGCGTGTCGACTTTGCCATAGCCGTAGGGAAACCTCGAACTCGGAGGCCATTTGCTCATGACAGCAGCACAAAGACCAACGACTAGAGCAAGGCAGTCAAAGAACATGTGAATACTATCGCTGAGCAGTCCCAGAGACCCAGTTAAGAAGCCGTATGCCAATTGCACGAGCATGAAGCTGAAGTTAAGGCTGAAAAGGGTTAGCAATGGTGAAACATAGTGGGGTGGTACGGGAGCTTACCACATGAAGTAGAAAATGCGTCGCGAATCGGTTTCCTTAAGAATACTGTACAGAAGGGGATACGATTCGCTGTGGTGGAGGATAAATCTGGTGATTTTGGAAGCATCGGCAGATGAATGGCTGTGCTGCTCATGAGCATGGGAATGCGCAGAATGGCGCAGATTCTTTCCATCAAACCGGACAGCAAGGTAGGAGACGAGTGAAACGATGATCCGAGAGACATAGATGACCTGAGCGTTGTCCTGTAGCGGAGGCGAGGAGAATAGGGCAGCGCTACCCGTCCCAAGAATGAGGCCTAGTTTATGCGGCGACTGTAGATGCGAAGGGGCAATAGAGACTAGACTGATTGCAAATGCACCAGAGGCGGCAAGGTGATAAATCATGTCAGGGACCTCGAACGAGACGTTCCCGGAAACAACAATTGTGACGAGTGTCAGCGACAAGCCTGACAAAATAGCCAACACAGAATCACCAGCTGAAGTAGCGCTTGCACCCAACTCTGAAAGCTGCTTCTTGGACGATGCGGGCGTAGAGAGGTCAACATCAACCGACTTGGCCCCTGAGAGGGGAGGACGAAGTACAAAGACGGACACAAGCAAAGAAGCGTAACCGAAGAAAGGGTGATCATCCCAGGTTGCATTCAAGCCCAAAAAGCTCAGCACGATGACCGCGACAAGAACAGCACCGCTTGCTTTCTTTTGACTGAATCGAAATTGGCCACTGCTGTGGGCTCCATTCCCCTGGAGGAGCGTAGGCACTCCAGAGGCTACCGCTAGGAGCAAGCTGAAAGCCACCAGAAACCCTCCAATTTTCAGACCAGCATATATGGGCAGAGCAAGAGAAGCCGCTTGCAGAAGTGCCACCATTGCCGTGCTTGAATTCACCGGGGGAAGTGCAGAAGGGGAGTCGAATCCTCCCCGCTGTGCCGATCGCACGATCTGTCCGCATCCATATAGTATCAGTGTAACTGCTGTCAGCATGGCGGTCTTCCGTTCGACTTGTTCTAATTTGCCGATACTCGAAGCGATTGCGTCAGGATCGTCTGAGATTCTCTGTTGTATCTTCCAATGCGCATGGTGTTGGTAATACCAGGAAAGGGCGATCCATGGCAGAGCCAGGAGGGGTCCAGCGAGAGCATCTTGACTTCTCCAATTGTTATTACTGGCTAGAAGAGCGCGACTGAGGAACTCACATTGTATTTGGCCCAGGCCCGACCGATGCATTGAGCGATTGAGCACCAATCAGCCCTGCAGCGCCATCATTCTTCGTGTGATGTGCATGGTTGCATGAAGAGACGGAGTGCTCATGAGCAGATGCTTCCCAGACGCTATGATTTGATGCATGGGAGTGTGTATGGTGATGAGCATGTCCGGCGGAGTCTCCAGAGTTGTCATTGGGAAGTACAGGGCTGGTCACAGGTGGTGGGGGCTGTTGATTTGCTGAAGACAGGTCGAAAGAGGAGGCCGAAATGGAAACTGGCCCGTGCGACCTGCGAGACGATCGCGAACGGTGACCACGAGAATGACCAAGCCCATGATTAGGGGGAGCTGTCTCCACGATAGAGACGGGTGTCCCGGCCGACATTGTGTCAGTTTCGCTGCGCTATGCACAATCGTTGCAAGTGTCCAGCCAACAGCCGGAGGGGGTTCGTGAGAGGCCGGTGCTTGAGCCGAGGTTTCAGGGAACAGCTAGCTGCCTAGAAGCAGAACAATTGAGCTTTAAGAGCTCAGCAAGAATGATAGGTCGGAAGATAAAAGCAGAAGATGCAGCATAGCGTCAATGGAAAGGGAATGAATGGAAGAGAAAGGAGCGACCGCGAAGGGCGCTTGTGGCGATCTTAGAACGCTGATGATGATGGATGAATAGCCCCCAGATAGCGGCGCGACGATCGGCCGGCGGTGATAACGAGCGCCACGTGATTAGCCTTTCAGCTGGGACGTAATTACGGTATCTCGGTCGTTGCCTGACATTTCAGGAACACACGTCAGATCGAGTGTATGGAAACTTGGAAAGAGTAATCAATCAGTCCCCAAAGCACTTACTTAACTTAGGAGGGGACGATCCGGGGTAAGAGAGATAAAGCTAGACCGAAAGATAATCAAAGGAGTAAATGCCGAAGATACTTAATTGGTCCAGTGGCATGTAACCTATCAATGCGAGCCGCGCGCCTGTTGTCAATTTGCCCGATTTGTTATTCTGACGCGCCCGGCGTGTGTGTGTGTGTCTCCGTATTCCGGTGTGGGGTTCCGTTCATCGGCCCAGGATTCCTCCTCCGGCCAGCTTGTCCCCAGAGCTCTAGATTTCTTTCTTCCATTGTCGCGCGGGATCAGGATCAATAGACATACTTCTGCTGGCTAAGCTAAACGATACACGGCTGAGACGCCCTATTGATCGTACGCCATTCTTTGATTCAATATTGCTGTGCACGATGCCGGATCATCTGTCACCAATCTCATAATCCCCCAAGAGCTTGATCCGTCGTCACCATGCTCGCAACTCTCATCAGCATCGCCTTTTACGCATCGACAACGCTCACGCTGGCAATCATCCTCCTAGCCCCTTCAAGATATACACCCCAACCTGCCTCTGAAAAAGATGGCCCTGAAAATCCCAAGACAACCGTCCAGATTCTCGTACTAGGGGACATTGGTCGCAGCCCGCGCATGCAGTACCATGCGCTCAGTGTAGCAAGAGGCGGAGGCCAAGTGGACATCATCGGCTACCACGGTGCGTAAACAGAATTAATTGCAGTCATATAACTTAAAACTAATATATAGCTTCTTCAGAATCGGAAGTCCACCCCGAAATCACCTCCCATCCCCGGATATCCATCATCGCGCTTCCCCCGCACCCGACCTTCCTCCAAACAAGCAACAAGCTTCTCTTCCTCCTCTTTGGACCCCTCAAAGTGCTATTCCAGATCGGATGTCTCTGGTGGATTCTCGTCTACCGAACCAAACCAGCCAAATGGCTTCTCGTGCAAGTCAGTCGTCGCCCCGCATAACCTACCCACCTACCACACCTACCAACCCTGCTAACCTCAACCCCCATTCCCACAACAGAACCCCCCATCCATCCCTACCCTCGCCCTCGCTTCCCTCACCTGCCTCCTCCGCCAGACCAGCCTAATAATCGACTGGCACAACTTCGGCTACACGATCCTGGCCCTTAAGCTCGGCGACACGCACCCGCTCGTCCGCCTCTCGCAGCGCTACGAGCGATTCTTCAGCCGATACGCGACAGCACACCTCTGCGTCACCAGAGCGATGGCCACGGTCCTCAAGCGGGACTTCGGGATCCGTAACGATCACGCCGCGATCTTGCCTCTCCACGACCGGCCCGCCGACCACTTCCAGCCCATCCCGGACCGCGCCGCGCGCGCCGCCTTCCTCAACTCCCTCCCGCAGTCCGAATCCGTGCGCCCGCTCATCGCAACCAACGCCCTCCGCGTCCTGGTCAGCTCCACCTCCTGGACCGCAGACGAGGACTTCTCCGTGCTCATCGACGCCCTGTGCCGATACTCTGCGCTGGCGCGGCAGCAGCAGAGCGGCGGCGGCGGCGGCAAGGAGCCCACGGAACTCCCTGCCATCTTGGCGATCATCACGGGCAAGGGACCCCAGAAGGAGATGTACCTCCGGCGCATTCGGGAGCTGGAAGCGGCGGGCAAGCTGGAGCATGTGACGATCCGCACCGCGTGGCTGAGCATGGAGGACTACGCGCGCCTGCTGGCGTCGGCGTCGCTGGGCGTCAGCCTGCACACCAGCAGCAGTGGCGTGGATCTGCCCATGAAGGTCGTGGACATGTTTGGCGCGGGTTTGCCGGTGGTGGGGTGGAACCGGTTCGAGGCGTGGCCGGAGCTGGTGACGGAGGGGGTCAATGGGCGTGGGTTCGGCAGCGCGGAGGAGCTGGTCGGCCATCTTGTGGAGCTGTTTGGGGATGATGCGAAGCTGGAAAGGCTGCGTGACGGGGCTCGTCAAGAGAGTGCCCGTCGTTGGGATGATGAGTGGAATCCCGTGGCGGGCAAGCTGCTGGGGCTGTATTAGTGCCATTAGCGATATAATAAATACGTATGGAATTTAGTTTCTTGTTCACCGAGCAATTGGGTGAGAGAAGCATTTATCGTCTTGTTAAGTAAAATTATTTACTGGGCTATATACCGGTAACTACCTTGACATCACGGACGAAATTTCCCGCCGCAGAAGGTGCACGTATCGAACATGTCGAACAGACGTTGACAAGACCGTTGGAGATCTGGATCGGACGAGTCCATCTCGTCCTCGTTCAGATACTCTTTCCCACAGCTGGAACAGAATTTGGATACCCCGGGGTCTTGGATAGCTAGCGACGTCAAGCCACACCGCACTGCATTCGGGAAAGGTTTGTTAGTTTGTGATGTGCAGGATAGCATACCATTGTTTCTGGGGGGTGCTACATACCGAAGAGGTGACCCGCGGCGCATTGCGCTTCCTGGTTCGAATACCAAGCAACGCCGGCATCGCAGATATCGCATCTCTCGAAAAGAGAGCTCCCTGGCCCGCTGAGCTCCTCGGCGGACTTGGCCTTTACCGTGTTCTTGGAGGTGGAGCATTTGGAGATCTCCTCGGTCAGATCGGCGCCTGTGATGGTAGCGAGTCTGATGAGAACCTGGCGAGCTTGCGCCATGATCTCCCCATTGGCGCAATCGACAATGGCGGAGCATGCTGCTGCGTATAATAATCTACCAGACAGTGGCAGTGGTGGGCTGTCGCCTTCGTCATTTTGGGACTGTAGAATGTGCCGGAGGGCCGCATCGCGCCTTGTACTGGGGGTGTCAGGCTTAGAGGCAGAGCTGGGGTCCAATGTCGCTGTTGGCCCGCTGGGGAGCTCGTCTGCGACTTCACCAGTGGTTGTGGAGAAGGTGACTATTACTCGGTCTTCGGCGGCTGTGCGGTATTCAATGACGTCTCCCGGGTGGAGCGTGGTAGCGCTCGCAACGATGCCCTTGCATGAGGTCAGACCCCAGATTCTGGCCACGGCGAGGCCTCCGAAATCTCGATTGAAGTCGAACTGTTCCCGCATATCGTCAATTTGGTTTTTCCAGGGGGCCTTGGAGAATGGCTGGTCCTCCTGCTCCGAGGAGAATTGCTTCGTTATCGCGTAGCCGCCGCCTGTTCCTACATGCAGCGCGAGATTCTGAGACTCAGGGTCTCGTGTGACAGTCATGGCTTGCCCGTGTCAGCGTGGGCTAGGACTAGTGTGGTTGACAGAATATTGCTTACATGATATTGGATCCCAGTGCCTTGGGGCTTCGGACTGGACCTCTGCCGCCGTGTCCTCATAGAATGGTAGGTGTTTGAACTCAATCTGTGTGGATTTCTGCTCATGTCCTTCATATGCTGAGTGAGGCATTGTGATAAGAGCGAGGCCCCCAAAGACACCCGCAGCCAAAGAAAGAGCCTGCGCATTACCCTGGTGTGGTTGTTAATCGAGAATTATTTCCCTGTGAGATTCTGTCTTACCAGACTGATCCATTCAATGGGACCGGTGAAACGATGATCTTCCAGTCCCTTGCAAGACACTGAAGCGTTCTCCTCTGACTTGGCCACTGGCTCGGGAGGCAGACCCACGTCTGCTCCGTACTTGAGAGATGCTGGGTCAACTTCTAGTCTGAGGACCCTCAATTTTGTCCCGTACACAACGGCCAGATTCCCTATCGCGTGACGGGCAGTTGGACTTTGCGTCTGATCATCGTCTCCCGGAAAGATCCACGGGCCCCAATTCATTGATGAGACAATGGCCTTAGATTGCAGTGTAGCGGCAAAGAGCGATGATGGCTGAGCCTCAGGATAGCTCACAAAGGGTTTATTTAAGGAAATTAGGGCGAGCACATCAGCGGTGTACCTTGGACTATGTACTGCTACCAAGCTTCGTATTCGTAGGAAGATCACATCCTTAGAGTCATTTGCAACTGACAACAGGTGATGGCCCCAGCGACTCTCGACGCCGCAAATTGCTAGTGAGTCCGCATTTTGCTCCGCGATAGGGGCTTTCAGAGGCGATGACCACGAAAAAGACCGAATGTATGATTTCCGCAGAGCCAAGCCCTCATCCTGGATCTGGGGTTGGAAGTGGAGTTTCAGGGAGTCGTTGACGATGGCTACGCGCGTCCATTTGCCTTGGATCCCGACAGGCTCATAGAGGGAAAGCAGCAGATTGGAGGTGAAGACGGCGAGCACACAGCGCCGGAACTTGGCGAGTCCTGGAGGGGACCAGGCCAGACCTACCACGGTGCTAAGGGACTGCTCGCCGCCAAGAGAGAAATTGTCGCGCTTCTGGGGATAGATGGTTGGCCATTCGCTTTCAGTGAAAACATTGACCCTGAACCGATTGGAATGCCAGTCGTTGATGGCTTTTTGCACAGGACCCTGTTCAGCTTTTTCATTGGCCGTCTTGGGGGTCTGTTCGCAGTTAGCAAATCATTCGCATAGGCTCGATAGTGATGGACAAACGACTGACCAGGACCTGGACGTATTCCCCCGCACCGATGGCCAGTTCCCCATCTGCCGACCAGGCCAGGCAATCTGAGCAGGAGGGGAATAACGGCAATTCCAACGGTCCTAGCATCTCGAGACAGCGGTGGTATTCAACAACTTCTCATGATTGAGATATAGATATTCTTTTTTTTGTGTTTCGAATTTATCACAGAGAATTTGGTCAACGACCGGCACTGCTTGGCATCCCTTTGATTGCTGGAATGCTGTCTCCAGCTATAGCGATTGTATGGCGGGACGAATCTATAGTTGTTCCTGCTTCGGGTTAGTCCAATGTGGGCGGGAAGGAGAAAGATTGCACTCACACTTCATGCGTAATCACGTGCACGGGGCCGAGCCTGCAGCCGGCTGCATGCTATGCTTCCCGATCAAGCGGGCGGTGAGAGTCACCGGGTGTCTGGATAAGCATTAGGTAATTCGGATGGCATGAGCACACCATGCCTATCGTGGTTAGTTCTTCAGGCTGGCTGAATCAACGGTCAGTGACTGGTCCAACAAAACTAACAAACACTCTGAGTCTCTGACGGTGCAGTCCAGCAGTGAGGATCAACGCCCGCCCGCCCTACTCATCCCATCCTCCCGCTCCGACTATCGTCCGTTTGTTCTCCTCTTTCCGAACCTCATCCGACCGATTCTCCACTGCCTTCAACTCCTCGTTGTCTTATTACTCAGAGTCCCGGCCTGAGAGATCTTATCCTCTTCGCCTCATATTTCACTCACATCGCCCACCCTCTGCCACTCATCCGTGATTTTTGCCACCTGCAGTCGTGCACCCTGACTTGTTCTTGGATCAGCTTCCGATAGCTCCTCGTTCATCGCTGATACCCCGCCACAATGTCGACCTCTGCCCGTCGTCGCCTTATGCGCGATTTCAAGGTACGTAGCTGTCCGCCGCGTTAGTGGGATCCAACCCTCTGTCCCTTGCGTTGAACTGGGTCTCTTGTCTCAGGACTCGCTTTAAGCTTGTTATCGATTATCGACCAAAGCCGAGCTACATGAGCTAACAGCTATGCTTCATCTTAGCGTATGCAAACTGACCCTCCTGCTGGAGTTTCCGCGTCTCCTGTAGCAGACAATGTCATGACCTGGTGAGTCAATCCTAACTGTCTCGATGTTCTCTCCCGCAATGGAGTCTGAGTCTGATAACCGCTCCAGGAATGCGGTCATTATCGGACCCGCGGATACGCCCTTTGAGGACGGCACATTCCGGCTCGTGATGCACTTCGAGGAGCAGTATCCCAACAAGCCTCCAGGCGTCAAATTCATCAGCCAGATGTTCCATCCGAATGTCTACGGTACGGGCGAGCTCTGCTTGGACATCCTCCAGAACCGTTGGAGCCCAACCTATGACGTGGCCGCGATCCTTACCAGTATTCAGAGGTAAGGACTCTTGTCTGCCTTGCTTGTCCCCGATCAATCACGAGGCGGGAATAAAACGATGCTAACGAACGCTTTTCTGTCTATAGCTTGCTCAACGACCCGAACACCTCATCCCCCGCCAATGTAGAAGCCTCGAACCTGTACAAAGATAACCGCAAGGAGTACATCAAGCGAGTGCGCGAGACCGTCGAGAAGAGCTGGGAAGATTAGAGACGACAGAGGAGGGGAGACGACTATGATATATTGCTATACGCGGGTTTGGATCTCTTGGTTCATGGCGATGTTGACAATGTCTTGCCCTGTGTTCCACCTGGGCTTGATGCCCAAGGCATTGATCATGCTCTTGTGGAGATGCAAGGGCAGTGAACCCAAGGGACTTGCACCCCGTTGATGACGTGCACAGCGTGGGGTTTTGGCGCCTGGTTACATCTTGATCTGTTCTTTTTATCGTGATCTCCCATTGGTAATTATGAATAACTGCATCGATTTCATGTTATGCTCATGTTGTTTGTTGTTTCACTTGAATGCATTTGACTTTGGTGTCTCCTTGCTCTTTGCTGCTACTGCATGTCAGATACTCGGCCCGACAACTCGGCCTGCTTTGCATTCTTTTTTCAATTTGAGTTTCCATTCACAACCGTCTGCCAGTGATTTCAGTTCCGCCATGATGTAGTCTTACCCCAACATTCCTGCCTAGTCAAAAATTTCGGCCGTGGAACGAAGGCATTCCGATGAAGTAATGAAGTTGGCAGGCGAGTGCCAGGCAGAATTTGGTTTGGGTAGAGAAATTCGAGCTCGGTAACTTTAGTTATTGCAACAGACAGGTTTGATGCGCCTAGTTCATTCCAACTCCCCCTCCCTCAATGCCCGATAAGAATGCAAAACTTCTTCAGACTTCTTAGGCAGAGATGGCCATGACCCCACGTCACGAGCATAGCTGGTTGACTGCGTTGTACTGTACAGTACCTCTGCCTTCTTTTCTGAAACACAAAATTGGGAGATGCTAAAGTAGTCGTGGTTCTTTCTGACCGCCCGGCCTACTCGTAATTGCACGTGGACCCCTGACCCAAACCGTAGTTTAGTTAGTTAGTCTAGTCTGTCCCGTCCCGTCTGTCCGTTCTGTCCGTCTACTCAGTAACTTACTGACTTACTCGTACTTACTCTCCGCTCTCCATCTCCCAAGCCTGTTGTTCTCTCATTACCTTCTTGTGATCTGAACGAACACCCCTCTCCCATTTTCGCAACACCCCCCTCCCCCTCTGGGGTTCCTTGTTTCCTTTTTATTTCTCTTTCTCTTTGTCATTCACATCCTTTCCCTCTTCATCGGCCTCACCTTGAGTCCGGGTCAGAGTGATCATGGCGTATGTTTGTTTTGGCTCTTGCTACTCCCCTCCCACCCCCTGTTCACCGCTTCAACCCACACTTACCTCGTGGGCAACTCTCACAACGCGCACGCGGCAACGAGAACTGATGGAATTTTCGACTTGACAGGTCATCTGGCCCCAACGGCCCCAACACCATTAAGGGTGCGCATTCTCCATCCCCCTCTGTTTATTGTGTTTATTTGCCCTCTGGTTCTTCGGGCTTGAAGGTGAAGTCATGGTGTCCACTAAGCTAACTCGCTCCGCGACACAGTGGTTGCGAGATTCCGACCGCAGAACAAAGTCGAATTGGCGTCCGGGGGTGAACCGATCGTGGAATTCGAGAATGAACAATCATGTGTCGTCAATGTGAGTGCTCCTGTTTAGGTGAACGTTTTGAGGTGTCCGCAACCTCTCTCTTCTCACCCTACTCTTCCGAAGAGCAAGAGTGCCGGGGAGGGAGGGGTCATGTTCCCAGGTTTTGCTAAATCCCGGCTTTTCGCGCATGTCCACAGTCCAAAGAAGGCTCTGGAGCCTTCACTTTCGATCAAGTGTTCCCCATGGACTCGAAGCAGCAGGATGTCTTCAACTTCTCGATCCGACCGACTGTGGATGACATCCTGAACGGCTATAACGGCACGGTTTTCGCGTACGGTCAGACGGGTGCGGGAAAGTCGTATACGATGATGGGTTCCGACATCGACGACGACATCGGCAAGGGTATCATTCCGCGCATCGTCGAGCAGATCTTCGCCAGCATCCTCACCAGTCCCAGTAACATCGAGTACACGGTGCGGGTCAGTTACATGGAGATCTACATGGAGCGGATTCGCGACTTGCTCGTACCGCAGAACGACAACCTGCCGGTGCACGAGGAGAAGTCTCGTGGCGTCTACGTCAAGGGCCTGCTGGAGGTCTATGTGTCCAGCGTCCAGGAGGTGTACGAGGTGATGCGCCGGGGTGGTGCGGCCAGAGCGGTTGCGGCGACCAACATGAACCAGGAGTCCTCTCGGTCGCATTCTATCTTCGTCATTACCGTTACACAGAAGAATCTGGAGACCGGATCGGCCAAGAGTGGTCAGCTCTTCTTAGTCGATCTGGCGGGTAGTGAGAAGGTCGGTAAGACCGGTGCGAGTGGTCAGACTCTAGAGGAAGCGAAGAAGATCAACAAGAGTTTGAGTGCTCTGGGCATGGTCATCAACGCGCTGACGGACGGCAAATCGACGCACATTCCCTACCGTGATTCCAAGCTCACTCGAATTCTGCAAGAAAGTTTGGGAGGTAACTCGCGGACAACCTTGATCATCAACTGCTCGCCCAGTAGCTACAACGATGCGGAAACAATCTCGACCCTGCGATTCGGTGTACGCGCCAAGGCTATCAAGAACAAGGCGAAGGTGAACGCAGAGCTCAGCCCGGCGGAATTGAAGCAGCTCCTCCGCAAGGCCCAGAGTCAAGTTACCAACTTCGAGACCTATATCTCGGCGCTGGAGACGGAAGTTCATGTGTGGCGCAGTGGTGAAGCAGTTCCCAAGGATCGTTGGACTCCTTCAAGAGGCTCAGAAGTCGTCAGTGCGGCTAAGGCGGAGGCTCGCGCCCCTCGACCTGGCACTCCCTCTCGCTTCCAGGACATTCCCCGCTCAGAGACTCCTCGTCCCGACTCCAGATTAGGGGACCGTTCCAGCACACCAAGCCTGGTTCTCGAGAAGGATGAGCGGGAAGAGTTCCTGAGACGGGAGAACGAGCTGCAGGACCAGATTGCGGAGAAAGAGTCTCACATTGCTAGCATTGAGCGGGGCCTGCGCGAGGCTCGGGAGGAGTTGAAGAGCATGAAGGAGAACACCGCACGTTCGGGCAAGGACAACGACAAGCTCACCACCGAGGTGAACGAGCTTCGTATGCAATTGGAGAAGGTGTCATATGAGAGCAAGGAAGCTTCTATCACCATGGACAGTCTTCGCGAAGCCAATTCGGAGTTGACCACTGAATTAGACGATGTGAAGCAGCAGTTGCTTGACGTACGGATGAAGGCCAAGGAGACCAGCGCTGCGCTGGACGAGAAGGAAAAGAAGAAGGCCGAAAAGATGGCGAAGATGATGGCGGGCTTCGACCTGGGCGGAGATGTGTTCTCCGACAACGAACGCAAGCTTAAGGAACTGCTGTCACGCGTGGACGAACTGCACAAGATTAGCGAAGCCGGGGAGACGATCGCGCCCGACGACCTACTGGAGCTGCGCACTAGTCTGCAGGAAACCCAGGGATTCATACGCCAGGCTGAGCTTACTATGAATGACCGGGGCGAGCTAAGCGAGCTGCAGGACAGCCGCAGGGCGGAAGTTGAACAGAAGCTGACGACTATCGAGCGGGAATACGAGACCCTTCTGGAACGAAACCTGGGCGAGGGCGACGTGGAGGAGATCCGGGAGCGGTTGGAGAAGGTGTACGTTACGCGCAAGGAGGCGGAGATGCAGGCCGTCACGGACCTGCGCAACGAGATTGCACGCAAGGACGAAGAACTGGGCAAGCTGCGCCAGTCCCTTGCCGACTCGCAGACCCGAGTGTCCACCAACGGCGCGGCGGGCAAGAACCTGCAGCAGCAGATCGCCGACTTCGACGCCATGAAGAAGTCCCTGATGCGGGATCTGCAGAACCGCTGCGAGCGGGTGGTCGAGCTCGAGATATCGCTGGATGATGCTCGCGAGCAATACAACAACGTCCTCCGCTCCTCGAACAACCGGGCGCAGCAGAAGAAGATGGCGTTTCTGGAGCGCAACCTTGAGCAGCTCACCCACGTGCAGCGCCAGCTGGTCGAGCAGAACAGCAGCCTGAAGAAGGAGGTCGCCATCGCGGAGCGAAAGTTGATCGCCCGGAATGAGCGGATTGCCAGCTTGGAGAGCCTGCTCCAGGAGAGCCAGGAGAAACTCACCCAAGCGAACCACCGGTAGGGATTCCTCTCCAGCTAATCCCATCCCCACATAAGACAAGACCTCAAGCTAACCACGCATCTCACCAACAACAGCTTCGAAGCCCAACTCACCGCCGTCAAGGAGCGCCTCGAGGCCGCGAAGCAGGGCTCAACCCGCGGACTCCCCAGCATGGACGCCAGCGGCGGCTTCAACTTCAGTGGCTCCCGAATTGCCAAGCCTCTCCGAGGCGGCGGCGGAGGAAATGAGAGCAGTGCTCCCGTAGCCGGCGTCCAGTCGCAGGAGACTGGCGCCAAGCGCACGAGCTGGTTCTTCGATAGACGATGATATCTCACGATTTTTCTTTTTCATTGTGTATTATCTTTCTCATTCTCCGAAAATACTTTTCTTGTTGCATCATGTGTGAAGCCGAAAGGAATGAAGCCCACGTCGTGTTTTTTTCGCCCTCTCGTATTGATTAGGGAGGAAAGAAGATATCCCAACCATTCTCTCTCTCTTTTCTTTTTCTGACTGTGAGGCATGAGGCATGATTACGTATGATATCGTTTGCGGTTCTTGTGCTTCTTGCCTTGCCCTGCCCTGCTTTTACTTGGTTTCGAAAGCTGAGGGGATATACTTTTGATTCTCTGTTTAGATGGAAATCTCATTACCCCCACCGCCCCCTCCACCGCCTACTTACCTCCTACTTGCCTATCTATCTATACCCACTACCACCGCTCCCTCTACAAATTATAGATGGACAGTCGTCGTGTCTGGATGACCACCCCCGGACTCCCACCACCCTCTTGTACGTGGCGATCCACGATAGACCCAGCACCAAGCAATGAGAATTGCGGAACGAGATCGAGATGCCTTACAATTGAACCAAATCCTATGGTTTCCTGATATCGGCATCGCCGAAATTATGCTCACCTCATTGTAGGCCGCGGGTGAGGATAGTAAAGAAATGTAGCCATGTCTGCAAGATAACGTAAGCAAGCAATGACATCTTGGAGTGTATTTACAAATCTCGGTCCCTACCCTTGAACCCGCCTCGGGGATCTAGTGAATATACAGGAGCAGCAGCAACAGCAGCAGCAACAGCAAACATGTACATCGAGAAAGTATATGGGAAGAATGAAGAAGACTAAGCATAGAACCCTGCCGTCAGGAAAGAAAAGTCAAGCGTTTGCATAATCCACAAGGCGAGAACATAATGCAGAAGACAATACCACCAGGTTTAGAAGAGAGAGAGAGAGCGCGCGCACTGCAATAACGCTGACTATGACCCCCCCCACCCCGCACCCTAATTGGACGGACTGTCTTGGATGTAGATAAACACATACACTCACAAACCATAATAAAAGAAAGGAAAAGAGAAAAAAAAAGATCCCATAAATGTCCCGCACACATCAAACGCAAGCACAAACATTAAATTCGTAGGGAATCCTTAGCGAAACAACGACGAGATGAAAACATGTATCACGTGACATGGAGAGCACCACATAGCACACTGCAAAAACAGCACAGCGGAAAACAGGCACAATGGAGAGGAGGAACAAGAACAAGAACAAGTCGAGAACGAGTAAGCGCCAAGTTTCACCGAGCGGAGAGAATTCCAGTTAAAAAGAAACAACAACATACGAGTAGTGGACGGCTGGGAAGCTTTATACCAACCCATCATACAGCGAGAGGGCGCTCACGATCGTCTCGTCCCGTTTGCTCCCCTCCTTGAATTCCTCCATGTCCAGGCTCCCGTTCTCGTCCTTGTCCATCATGCGGAAGATCTTGCGCACCCGTTTCTCGGGGGTGTCTTCGTCTTCGGGGAGTTTTACCATCGAGCCGACCTGCACGGGAAGCATTAGCCAGTTTTCGGTGGGGGGTGGGGATGGAATTCAGGGAACAGCCCATAGGACAAAAAGGGGGCACGACGCACCATCTTGTAGATCGCCTCCACGATCGCCAGCATCTCATCGTACGTGATCTTCCCGTCGCCGTCGATGTCGTACAGCTGGAACGCCCAGTCCAGCTTATCCTCCATCTTGCCCCGGGAGGTCACCGACAAGGCACAGATGAACTCCTTGAAGTCGATCATCCCGCTGTTGTCCGAGTCGAACACCCGGAACACGTAGTTCGCGAACGAGGACGGGTCGCCGAAGGGGAAGAACTGGCGGTAGATCTTCTGGAACTCTTCCTTGGTGAGGGTGCCCGACGGGCAGTCTTTGAGGAAGCCTGTTCCGTGACCGGGGAGGTTAGCTCCTGTACATTCTATCGTCCGTCTTTTCGCAAGGGGTTGTTGGCTTTGCGTGTTGAGCTGCCGGTGGGTTGTTGTGCTCGCTCTCAAGCCATATGCTGCATGTTTGTATAGATCTGGTCGAAAAGGCACTCACCCTTATACCATTGCTGCAGTTCCTTCTTATCGAAATGTGTCGCCTTTTGGAGTTCGTCCAGCTGAGCGGGGGAGAGCTTCGACTGTCTACCGTAGAACAAAATATGACGTTAGTTTTGTGGTTTGCGGGTAATGTGACAACATGAGTACATGTTTGGAACGAGGGAGGAAGCCGTCGCCGCACGGCGGATAAGGGTTCGACCGGGGGAGAGGGGGTTCATGCAAGAGGTTTCGCAGAACATGGGGTGCGCAGAGGGCTAGAAGACAGATCTAGACTGCGTTTGTCTCATGGAGAGAAAAGTCCCAAGAGATTCATCTGCGACACAAGACCCCAAAACATTGTATTGCGCCCTGGCTTGCGTCTCCATCTCTCCGTCGCCTCTTGAACGGCGACGGGGGACAACTGGGGAAGCGCATCACTTACGACTTGCCCATTGTCAACTATGCGGACACCACAGTGCCGATTTTGGTGATATAGAAAGGTAAGAGAGGGGTGCGTCAGGGGTGCGTGTGCGGGATGGACGGCGCAGAGAAGGACGAGAAGACACGGAGTTTCGGATAGCGCGGGGTAAATCAAGCGGCGGTGGTGGGACCGATAAGAGGGAATAAAAAAGACCGAGGCTGTTAGGGGGAGATAGTATAGTGGTGTAGTGTAAGTCTAGTGCAGTGTAGGCGTGAAGACGAGGGTGACCGTCGCAATAGCAGGATGATTTTAGAAAGAACAGAACACGGACAAGAAGAGGAATCCGATTTAATTGAGAAATGAGAAATGAGAACTGGGCCAGAGGAAAAGTAGTGGCGACGCCCGAGGGATCGAATCGGTGATGCTTCCTTCCTTCATAGCCCCGAGCCGCCGGTCCAGAACATGTTTATGTGCGGCCTTGGCAATTGCCCTTGCGGTTGAAACACGACTTGGGTTGACTTGGGTTGGGCTAGATCCTCACAACATGCACATCTCTTCGTCACCCTCTCCCACTGTCTCCACTCCACACTCTACCATCATATTGTACACATAGTCACATACGGACACCGCCCAATGGGTCTCCCCCATCCCCCCATCATTGCCCTTTTCAGAGATCAACAGTCAATCCGTCCGTCACTCGTTCCCCCGATTTATGTACAACCACCCCTCCAAAAAAGAAAAAGAACAAAACAACAAACACCAGCGCAGTATGACAGAGGAAAGCACGAATCATGCGCAAAGCAATAGAACAATAAACTGTCGCTTTACATGGGATATCCTAGACAAGGGACCGTGACAACTATCTCATAAAAATGACAAGAGCAGCGACCAGCGACCGACTGGGCCTACGAGGAACAAAAACGACAAGATTCCCAGGAGATGGTCATGCTTCACGAGTGCGAACCATTGTCCCAGAGTCTGCGAAAGTCTAACGCTGGGGGGGGGGGGGGGGGGTTAATAATAGCAGTCATACCCCGGATGAGGCAGAGGAAGGGGGTTTTTCTGGTTGGCCTGGGCGAGGCAAAACGCCTCGGTGGCTCCACAGGGAGCGGGCCGAGTTGACGACGCGATCAGAAATTGTGACTGCAGATTCTCTAGTCGACCTTGATCGAGCCGTAGATGCGCTGCACAAACGCCCAGCTGGCAAAGAAGCCAATCGAGCCTGTTCATTAATGGTCAGTTGAATACTCTAAGGCATCCTCAATCTCAAGAGGGTCGACAACATACCGGTCAGAATAAAGACCACGAAGCCGATCAAGGCGGAATAGCCAATGTACAGAACAGCACCCGTGAGGCCACCAAAACTGACCCGCGTGATCCAGAACAGCAAGGCGTTCAGGAACACGTACACTCCGGTCATTCCCGCGCCGGCAAACGCCCTCCAGTGCCACCGGTAGTTCTCCGCACACAGCAGGAAATATACCAACAGAACCGTCGTGGCAGCCGAGGTGATGACCATCAAGCCATAGCAAAGGAACAGGAACCCAAACATGTAGTAGATCTTGTTGGTCCAGAGCGAAGTCATGATGAAATAGAGCTCCACAAAGATGGCTCCGAAGGGCAGAATGCCGGTCAACAGGAGCGACGGAATCGGGCGGAGTGTGCCAGCCATGGGCGGCACTTGGCGCGGGATTTGGTTGGTCTTGGTCGGACCCTCAATGGCCTGTCAACTCGTTAGCAAGACTCGCCGTCGGCACGCTCGGGAGTGATCTACCTGTTGTTTGAATCCTAGCCAGCTTCCTGCCACACTGAGCGGCACGCTGATGACGAACCAAATCATGACCAGAGCGAGCATGGTGGTGAAGGGTACAGCTCCGCTGGATCCCTTGGCCCAGACAAAGAGGTTGAGCAGAAAGAAAGTGCCGAAGATAAGGGCCGGGACCAGCACAGGGGTCATAATGATATTGCGCTTCCAGGCATCCCCGCCCAAAGACTTGTAGACACGTGCCGAGACATAGCCTCCGATGAAGCCAAAGAGCGTGTAAATGATGAGAATGGCCGTCGCAAGGAAGCCACGGTTCGCAGGGGAAAGGAGACCGAAGAGGGCAAACACTGTCCATAAAAGTCAATGCTACGACATGCAAATTAGTTGCAAGGCAGCTTACCAACGGTGACACCGGTCATCATGAAGAGCTGAGCGCCATTGCCCACAAGCACGCTGAGCAGCAGGGGAGCCTTAGGGCACCGGAACACATCGCCATGAACCAACTTCCAGCCCGAATCCTCCTGGATGCCGTCCTCCACGGCTGCCGAAGTGCTGTCGAAATCATCCAGGTTGATCATGTCGAGTCTGTTATAGCGAGCGATATCCTTCTTCAGAGCCCGGATAAGAATCATGCTGACCATACCCACGAGGAACACCACGAACACGGCCGAGTTGATCAGAGAAAACCAATGGATTTTGGGGTCGTAGACGTGCAGGTACTTATCCCAACGGGTCGCCCACGGGGTGGACGACTCACGCCAGTAGACACTGTAGGTCCAAGCCACGGTCGTCTCACCTTCCTCGTTTAGAACAACGCCAGTCCCATCCGTTTCGCACTCCGCGGTCCCGTCTTCCAAGATCCGAGCGTTGGCCCGCGACTCGGGTTGCACAAGCACACCGACGACGCGGTACTTATCTTGGGCCCCGTACCCGACCCGATGATAGTCGATCAGGATCTCGAAATGGTTGTTCAGCACCGGAAGGCCGTCATCGTTGATTGAGCCGAGCGCGAATCCCGGGCTGTAGAACTTGTCCTGGGTCACAGCCTCCATGTTGATCTGGGCGCCGGGCAGACCGTCAACCAGCCAGTTGATGTTGTATCCCTGCTCGATCCTCCGGTTGACGAACTTCGCACTGCGGGCGTCGAAGGTGGCCGTGCCACAGATGGCCTTGCAGGTCTCATTCTTGCCCATGTGCAGCTCCAGCGGTGACGTTTGGATCCGGTCGCCGAACAGAATGGACCCTAATGATTCCCGGACATCCTTGGGCCCGCCCTCGGGAGCGCAGAACCTGAAGGCCGGGTGATAGTAGTCGTAGGAGAAGACGGAGTGCAGCTGCTCGTCCTGCTGCGCGAGACCGGGGGTAAGGTGGTTCACGTAGAGCGGCACCGACTGACCCTCATCGTACGAGGTCGGGGCAACACCGGGGAGGTAGAAAGCGGCGGACAACGAAGGGGCAGAAAGAAGAAGGGTGGTCAAAGGCAGCGCTCGATTGCTGAACCACATGGTGGGCGATTCTAGAAAGAGGCGGGCGGTATATTAGCTCGTGTCCGTGGCTCTGAGAGGAGGCCAAGAGATAGGATGCTCGGGGCCGGGCCTAGCCACCACCGATAGTATGCGTAGCTTTTGTTTGGGAATGAAACTCACAGATGGTAGCTTCCACGCCACAAGCGATTCTCGAAGATCGCACGAGTTGGCCGCTCGAGGGGAAACTGTAGCAGAAACCAACTCGAAGGGCGGAGGAATGCGGCACCTTTATGAGGGAACGGAATGGGAGAAAAGAAGAATTGGGAGAGACCAAACCGAGCTGTTCCCAGAACGGCGGGAGCGTCGTCACTTCACAGTTGCTCCCGTTGATGAGGCCAGCTCGTCGCTCTTGGCCCACGTGACATCCCGTTTCCATTGACTAAGGACAAGGACACTAAGGACTTAATCGGCACGTGCCGATAAGCCATCTCTAAAAATTTCCCATCGAAATCTTCCGCGGCCAAACACATCAGAACGAAATCACACACACCCATCAAATCGCAATGGCGGCGGCAGTGTCGCAAACTGCGCCTTCGGACCTGCAGAATGTCTCCGCTCTCCTGGAAACTCTCACTACATGTTTGAACAACACCGGCTCGTCCCTGCCCAAGGCCGAACGGGAAACCCCCTCCGATGTGTCGATCGAGCCGCCGCAAGACGGCATTTCGCTTCTCGACACCAAATCCGACCTCCTCCTGTCATACCTCCAGAACCTCGTCTTCTTGATCATCTTCCAACTGCGAGGCCTGAAGAAAGATGAAGAAGACGAGGATGTCGACGAGTCCCTCCCGGAGGACATCGTCAAGAAACTCGTGGAGCTACGCGTCTACCTGGACCGCGGTGTCCGCCCGCTGGAGGGTAGACTGAAGTACCAGGTGGACAAAGTCATCAAGGCCGCGGAGGATGCTGAGCGCGCAGAGCGGGATGGTGTTTCTACGAGTAAGAGCAAGAAAGCCAAGGGCGCCGACGCTGAGGATTCCGGATCCGAGGGCAGCAGCGACAGCGAGGGCGACAGCGATGAGGAGGATGAGGAGGAGGGAGACGGAGAGGACATCGACGAGATGGCCTACCGGCCCAATGTCTCGGCCTTCTCGAAGAAGGCGGAACCCCAAGCCAGACCCGACAAGTTCGGCCAAGAACCCGCCGGCGATGGTATCTACCGACCGCCCCGGATCATGCCTACGGCTCTACCCACAACCGAGCGGAAAGAGCGCCGCGAGCGGCCCGCGCAGCGGTCGAATGTCATTGACGAGTTCGTTAGCGCGGAGATGTCGTCCGCTCCCATGGCGGAGCCGAGCATTGGTAGCACGATTGTGCAGGGTGGTCGACACACGAAGTCGAAGAAGGAGCGCGAGCGGGAGGCCGAGCGGACGGCATACGAAGAGACCAACTTTGTGCGCCTGATGAAGGAAAGCAAGAAGGACCGTGCCAAGCGACTCCGGGCCGAGGGACCGCAGAACCAGTACGGTGGTGAAGATTGGAGGGACCTTACCGCGGGCGCCGACCGGATCACGAAACTCACTCGCCGGGCCAAGGGCAGCGGAGGTGCATTGGACAAGAGTCGGAAACGCAAGGTCACCGAGGATGGCCAGCGGGACGATGGAGTGGGAGTTGGTCAGATCTTCGAGAAGCGGCGCAAGAAGGTTGACAGCTGGAAGCGGTGATTTCTATGCTTTGTGTTTGTTTTTTGTGTGGAGTATTTTCAGATAACATTCGATACCATGAAAAGTCGTGATTCTTTGTCCAGATATTGTCCAGATTGTTGGTTACTAAGGGTGGAGTGAAGAGTTTACTCGTTCCGAGAATCCGGGATTTTCACATGCAACGCAACCGGTGACATCATCCCTCAATCACTTCATTGTATCAACCCTGCCTATATTTTCAATCCATTCCCATTGAACCAGCATCATCTCAACATCAATTCAACTTACTATCTAGTAGTGTTTCACCAATTTACCCTGCCCTTCTTGACTTAAAGCACCAATCAATCACTCAACATGGAAGACCCAGGTAAGTCCCCACCACCACCACCACAATTCCAAAGCAACCACTAACATCGAGAACAGCCTCCGAAATCACCACCATAATCCACCACCTCACCCAATCCACCCCGCAAGACCAAGAGCGCACGATCCAGAGATTCTTCACCCCGTCCGCCGCCTTCGTCCACCCCTTCTGCCGCGTCTGGAGCTACCCGGGCAGCCGCTGGTTCATCGAGAAGATCTACCAATGGTACAAGATCATGTCCCCGCGGATAGAACTGGAGGTGCAATCGGTTGGTACGTGACGTAGCGAACCCCCGGGCTCCGTTCCCACCGCTAACCCCAACCCGCAAAAAGCATTCGACAAACCCAGTCTGAAACTGTACCTCACCATCTCCCAAATCTTCTCCATCTGGCTGGTGCCCTTCCACGTGGCGCCGGTGACCCTGACCACGGTCCTCGACCTGACCACCGACCCGGAGGACGGGCGCACCCCCGTCCAGGGGTCCGGGAAACGCTACTACATCAAGAAGCAGGAGGACTTCTACCAGCCGTCGGAGTTCGTCAAGTTCGTCATGCCCTGGGGGCTTGGGCAGTTGTTGGTGCTGGCGGCGCAGACGTGGGCGACGCTGTTTTGTATTGTGGGGTGTGCGGTCTTTTGGCCGCTGATGTGGTTGGAGGAGAAGGGTGTGGTGCCGGGACGGGTGTTGCGGAAGGGGAACTTGGGGGGGGATGTGGTGGGGTGGGAGAAGAGGAGGTTTTTGATGGTTAATGGGTGTGAAGAGGATAATGAGGGGGAGAAGAAGGGGGAGGGAAAGGGGGGGCAGAAGGGGGAGTGAGTTGGAGAGTCGGAGGGCGTGATGAAGTGGGGTTAGTGGCTGAGGATGTGAGAAATAGGTTGGTCGATGGTGAGTTGGGTGTTTGGGGTTACTGAGTGGGTGGTGTTTGGTTCGAGTAGATTTGTTTGTGGTCTCTATTTAATGCAATGGTTTCAATACAAGATCATACAGGTTCAAAGTACAGTAGCTGCTATAGTGATATACGCGTGAAAAAAAGAAAAAAACACAGAAGAATATTAACTGCCAAATCTACATCCAGACCATGCGACTCATCCTAAGACTGCTTGGGAATCGTCCGTGCTATATCGATCTGACATCTCCAGCGACAGAGGCTTATATCCCCGGCGCTGCCACCTGCGATTCACAATCCATCTCCAGAGCAGAAAGACGCACCAGCTCAGACAACCGCCGACTAGCACCAGCGTCGTCTCCACTTCACTCGACATGGGGTCGAGATATCGGCTCGCGAACCGCTCGCCCCAGCCTTGGAGTTGCTGCCCCATCACCTGGGAGACTCCGAGGACCTGACCCTGCGTGTCTAGGGCGGCCACTCGGAAATAGACCGCCGTCCCTGCCTCGCCAGAGAGAGGGATCTCGGTCTCGAACCCGTCGCGAGGGACAGTCTGCTCGGGAGTGAAGGCCATCTGCGGGCCCATGTTGCGACCGTCCCAGCGTTGGACCTGCCACCTTGCCACCTCCGTAGCTCCATTCCAGCTCACGTATACTGAAGACCCGCGGACGACCGCGTCAGGTCGGGTTCTGGGTCGGCCAACCCAGCGGCCCCTGGTAGTCCGATAGGACATCACCCGGCCCAGCTGGAACCAGTTACTCGCCCCGAAATGGGTGTCGCACAGCACTTCCCCGTCGGGCGCGAACTCCGTGAACGCGGCGCAGTGGCCCCAGCCGATGAAGACGTTGCCTGTGTCCGGCAGCAACTGCATGCTTCCTTGCGAGAGCGCGCCGGTGGCCTGTTCTGTGGGGGTCTGGTAGGTCGCCTTGACAGTCGCGATGCGATTGGGCACGTCCAGCTCCAAAACTAGCCCACGGCTGGCGGTGGGCTCGTCGAAGAACCACTTGGCGCCGTTGTCGAGCAGGGTGATCGTCTGGCTATCCTGCCACCGCGCATGGTGCTGCCAGGCGAAGTCGGTGGCGGAGCCGTTTGAGGCATCCGCAAACTCGTTCAGCGCTCCGCCAAGCGTCCAGAGCACCGCACCTGTGCGGCCGTCGACGCTGGTGATCGAGTGCGTGTGTCGTGCAGAAATCAGGTAGTTGCCGGCCTCGTCCTTGTCGACGCTGTTCATGTGGAAGACGTCGTAGGGATGCGCGGGGCTCCACCCATTGCCCAGTAATGCCTCGTAGGAGCTGGCTAGGGGCACATGCTCTGACATGCGCCATTCGAAGATTAACTCTCCGGTGGCGATGTCAATCTCCTGAAAGAGACACTCGTGTATATACCCTTGCTGTGGCCCGCCCAGATCGCTCAAATCTGCCGGTTGGGTGGTGTAGACAATGACGAGGGCAGTGTTGTTGGCAGTGATGCGGAATTCGTGCATATCTCCCTCCGCCATGCCCACGGCTCGGACTTCGAGACGGGGAGTATAGGTCGAATCCATCTAACCAGCGGATCTGTCAGATATGTGTCCATTAACGCAGCATGCGAAGGGTCAATATACCATGATCCAGGAGCCGCGCCCATGGCCATTCTCTCCGACCCCATGCCAGTAGGTCAAGAAGGTCTCTCCGCGGTACTCTTGCACTTGAAAATTGTCCAGCCGCTCGGAGGTGGGTGGCAACTTCCACACCAGTTCCCCTTGGGCATTGAAGATCATGGGTCCTGGCTGCTCGACCGCGTCGCCGCGAGCCGAGAGGAAGATCAGATCGTTGCTGCATCGCGGGTCCCACGCTACCTGTTCCAGCTTCGAGGACACAAGATCAGTCGAGACATATTCGTGGACGGGGTACAGGCCTAGTACCCCTGAGTCGAACAATGAGACGCCGATACGTAGGCGTAAGCGCTGTAGACTAGGGATGCCTATAAAGATGATGGCTGCAAGCAATGTGCTCAACACAAAGAAACCAGTTATGAACCCAGTCCAAGGGCGGCGAGAGTGTGGACGCAGCATATCATGAGGATAATCGCAGATTGAACTGATGAGCCAGCAGACATCAGCGTGGCTAGCACTTGAAGTTGAATGGATGTATATATTTCCATCTTATCACCCCATCACATCTCCTTTGTTACTGAAGGGAGGTGGAGCGTCTCTATAATTAAAGCATGACGCAATCAACGCACTGCCAAGCTGAAGTGGGAGAGTTCGCTTGTCTGTATGGAAGAAAAAGAGACTAAGTGTTGTTCCAGACATGAAGGTTAATGTGTTATCCGCAAGCAGGTTCCTGAAGGGGATGAGCTTGAGCGGCTGGGCCAAGCTTTGCAGCTCCACTTTTGATTGCGCAAGCCAAAAGCATCATCATCAAAGCCATCGATTTCTCTTATCCGCCGTTTCAACAACGAACAGGGGATGGATTATTGGTCTCAAAGAATAAGATTGCTTGATGCGCTGATATATCACTCTTCTTGTCATGATTTCCATCATTTTCTGGATAATTATAGCCGGAGATAGCTATCAATCCCGACATCTCCCTAGTATTTTCCGCCTCGACACCCCATAACCCACTCACGACGCCAACCATCCCACAAAGAGCATTGGAAAGTGGGTCATCTGAGATATGATCACTCAAACTATGGATACTCCAACGTACGTCTGCTGTCTGCTGCGCCACTGTCCGAGTGCACACGTCACAATTTCTGCGATTTCACCCCGACGCTCTCCCTCGAGTGCGAATCGCGTCAACCTTGTTGAAACAGTCCCGCTACAGTATCTGTCACATCATATTTGCGTTCCTAGAGTCGAGAAGGTAATCATCAATATGCGTCCATCTTCCGCCTCGAGGCTACGACAAGACATCCCGCAGAGCTCAACCTAGGAGGAATAGTGTCTCATACATCGTTCCCTACAATTCCCCGAAGCAGGACAGGAAGCTTCCCCTTCCTGCTTCAGACTTGTCTGGCTCAGAAGGGAGTTAGCACGTTAGAGTGACCACACCTTAGGCGAACGCCGACTTTTCCCAGACTCCAACTCCCTACATCTCCTAAGGAAAAACCCGCCTCTTGCCAATATCTACTCAGGCAGGTTGTCAGCATTTCTGAGCAATCCTGCCACATGAACCAACGCGTTTAGCAGGCTGCTCTACATCTCGATATCATAATTTTAGCTATGGAGTACCACCAAGGAATGAAGAAACCGTTCCATATTGCCCACCCCTGAGCCATTGAATTGCTTAAAGGTTATGAGCCCGGAGCTTGTAGCCTCTTAGGGCTCTGGGACAATCCCATGTGTATATTCCTCCGTCATAAACAGTCCAAGTTGATACTTGTTATAATTAACAAGTTCTTTTGTTGATAACTACAACCGCCGAGATATCTGATATTGCCAAGCCGATGTGTCTCCACAAGATCTACGCACTTCTCTGTCAACAAGACTTCAACATCTATGCGTTCTCTTATTCACAAGATATGTATATCCGTCATTTTTCTCATTAACGCAAGCATGACAGAGGCCAAATCTACGCGTGAAATCTGTTTATCTGTTGATTCAGATGACGCCCACCGAGGCTTACCTTTGTAAAGTGCTACCAAAAACTTGCCATACGAATCTGTATAAAAAGTGATAGGCCGCTGTGTAGGAAGACGAGCCTTTACGAGCGAGAGGTTGCTGTTGCCGACGAGAGACTGCTGCCCAGGGCCAATGGGTTAGGACCACTAGGAGAGTGAGAACCTCTAAGGCATTGGGAATGAGAATCGTTCCATATTGCACACCCTTCAGTCATGCAGTTGCTTATACACGACCTCTTCATTGGTTTTGACCGGGAACTCGAAAACAGTACACGCATATCTCTACTCGAAGTTCTCTATTAATTCATATACTAGCTCTCAAACGACTCCGTAGAATACTATCAGAGGATATGGCTTAAAAAAGCTTTCTTTGTTAGGCCATGTTCTATAACAGATTTGTACAAGGTATTAAGGCGGTGATGGATGCATGTAGTGGGAATCTTGTTGGAGAGTATAGGAAACAAGCTGGTGTATGATGACTTGGGTTCTTGGAATTGGTTGGTTGGTTAGCTGTTACCCTCAAGTAAATACTATATTGTGATCTCTATTTTGTACAACGGGGTTAAATAAAAGATAAAACCACACAGGTCCAAGTATAGAAGCTGCCGTAGTAATATACAGGAAAAAGAATGTCAAGAAGCGAAAGTGCCGTGTCCTTCAAGGACTCGGACCACTAAGGTATAAACAATACCTAGCATAAAGCATCGCACAGTGTCACTGCACCACCAGAAACCCATCAGATAGCGATGAACCATCCCAAACTACCACTCAGGCATCGTCGCCAACCAAGCCTCCATGAAGACAATCCGCGAGTCGTCAGCAGAAAGAGGGCCTGATCCCCAGGAGTTGCCCAGCCACATCGTCTGTTGCTTGTCCTTGGTGCTGGGGGCGAACTCGGGCAGTCCATCCCCGTTAGGGTTGCCGGTCCGAATGAAGTTCGCCCAGTAGTTGGACATGCGCTCCTCGACAATGTAATCGTAAGGGTACCAGGTCACGTTGGAGTAGTCCGAGTAGGGGATGTTGTTGAAGCTGTACCAAAGCTCCGAGCCGTGGTACGCACCCTCGTCGCGGTTTTCAGCAGGGCTGCGGGTGAAGTAGTAGGTGTAGACGGGGCTCTTGGCACCACCGGCGGCCCAGTCCACGGACCACTGCCAGGTGCCGACACGGCTCAGGTCGCGGTAGAACTCGTTCGAGTTGTTGTTCGCCTGGGCGAGGCTCTGACCGGGGTAGAGGTCGAAAAACTGGCTGGCGTTGTTCCCGAAAAGCTCGGTGTAGAGCTCCTTGTAGCTGGCGACGGTCAAGCCTGGGTCAGGGCTGGCGCCCGATTCATCCTTGTTGTTTCCAGTGAGGATGGGCACGTCTAGGTGCGCGTCAAGAGACAGCGACTCGCCGTAGCCGTAAGGGAGGACGTAGCCATCGATGTTTGGGCGCCACATGGGCGGTTCCATGAAGAAGCTGGACAGGTTCTGGAACTGAGTGCCTTCGAAGATGGTGTCGCTGAGCGAGTCGTATCCAATTAACGTTTCTGTAGAAACCTTACGGGCCGCAGCAAGGCTGGTAACATTCAACTCCTTGAGGAACTCAACGCCCTGGGCTTCAGCAGCAGCTTTGGTACGGTAGCTGGTTGCTGCACTACCCGTCATAGGGTCGTGAGGGCCACGCGCACCACTTTCGGCGATGACACCCGCCACCAGACCCTTGTTCAGAGGACTCCACATGGAGTCGAGGGCGCTGGCAGAGCCGGCAGACTGTCCGCCCACAGTGATCTGACTGGCATTTCCACCGAAGTTGGCGATGTTCTCGTGGACCCAACGCAGCGCAGCCTGCTGATCAAGTATGCCGTAATTGCCGGAGCTGTTGTGGCCGGACTCAGCGGAAAGCTCGGGGTGGGCAAGGTAACCGAATGCACCCAGACGGTAGTTGATGGTCACGACAATGATGTCTTTGGCTGCGAGACCGGTGCCATCGTAGGTCAGCACATCTCCCGAGCCTCCTTCGAACCGACCACCATAGATCCAGAAGTACACGGGTAGATTCTTAGATGTGATGTCCGAGGTGTCGTTGTAGTTGGGCGTCCAGATGTTCAGGTATAAACAGTCTTCGCTCGTAGTAGTCTTGCCACTGCTGAAGATACCCGCACTGCTGATAGTCTGGGCACACTGAGGACCAAACTCAGTCGCATTGAGAACACCACTCCACGATGTGGCAGGTTGAGGAGCCTTCCAGCGATTGTCTCCTGTAGGGGGAGCGGCAAAAGGAATTCCTTTATAGACAACAGCCACATCACCGCCACGAAAAGGTGAGTATTGACCCTGCACATCACCCAGGGTGGTATTGATGATTGGCAATTGCGAGATGGAAGATCGTGCCAAAGGACTAGCGAACGCTGCCAGTGGTGCAACGGCTGTCAGGCCGGCCAGGGTGGAGATGACGTGCATGAGGAAAGGTTGTTCGCCCACGTTCTGACACTGAGAAGAGGATGAATGAGGACGAGATTGGCTGTTGAACGAGAGGATGTCTGGATACAACCCTCCTTATATACCATCAAGCTTGTCCCGCGGATTTGTCTCGCAACTCGGCAGTAAGGACCGTCCGTCGTCGTCATCGTTTCGAGTAGTTAGTGTGACCATTGGAAGTGCCTTCGTACGGCTGTACTAAAGATTTCTCATGAAGATAACTGCATAATGTGGGTCGGAGCCACCGGGAGGATCCGCAGGCCGCAGACAAGAATTAATCTTATCCTTCATGTGTGCTTACGCATGCTACTTGCGGAATCGCCCACCGTCTGGACTCGATCCAGAAAGTCTGCAGAAGCAGGAACCCGCCTACAGTCGGGTCGGCTTTAGTTGCAGATCACAGGCTCGGCTGTTGCGATATGGCCGAGATCGCGGGCCCGATCCCGAGCGTCAACGTCTGATCCTTCTCCTTCTCAATCACAGCGCATGCTCCGAGCGCACGTGTCCTCGGAGATCGAGATTCGGCGGCCGTAATTGCTCGATATGCGATGGTCGGTGCTCGGGAGTTCGGATCTCCGAGACTCGGCTTCATTATCAGTGTAACTATATTAACTGAATCTCATATTACTCTGCCTTTCGGGTTCAAGGTGTTTCAAAGTCGTCTAGTTGGTATAATGCGAGAACAAAACGGGATGATTATATACAGGGATCTAGCTTGTCGATGTGGTGACGGAAAGTGTGCCGAAATCGTACTTCATTGAACGCCAACAGGTCGTGCTCCCGAGAGATTGACCACTCTTCCTCCGCCAGGCGTAGGAATCGCTGCCGCGGCTGGAGGCTGAACCCAGCCTGGAACGTTGTCATCTTCACTTTCTCGGGCGTAAATTGTCTGCCACACGTTGGGAAACCCGGTAGGCACAGCTCCACGAAGGCGTGCGCCCGGGATGGCTAAACGGGGATTCTTGTGGGTCAGGTAACCGCGCATCAGGCCTTGAGTCAGGAGGGAAGCTAGAATTGACTCAATCTCCCGCATCATCAAAGTAGGTTTCCCCTCTTCGGGCTCAAGGTCAGGGCGGCTGGCGTAGGGGTCGAGCTCAAATTGCTTGTAATCTGCCGATGGCTGGCCATCAACCAGGTTCCCGGCTGGATTGGCTTGCCATTGCCCTTGAGCATCGAAGTACCCATCAGGTGCCAGGTAATCAGCATATTTG